TAGCAGAAGAATATCAAGTAGATATTAATCTACTGGGTTCTATAAGATTTTGGTGGTATTTTCCCTTCACAATGTATAAGCAGATGTTAATCTATTGGGCTCTATAACATAGTGGTGTTATTTCCCTGCATAATGTATAAGCAGATAATAATCTATTGGGCTTTATAAAACAGTGTTGTTGTTTTCCCTTCACAATGTATAAGCAGATATTAATCTCTTGGGTTATATAAAATAGTGGTGTTGTTTTCCCTTCACAATGTTTAAGCAGATATTAATCTCTTGGGTTATATAAAATAGTGGTGTTGTTTTCCCTTCACAATGTTTAAGCAGATATTAATCTCTTGGGTTCTATAAAATAATGGTGGTGTTTTCTCTGCACAATATATAAACTGATATTAATATACTGGGTTCTATAAATTAGTGGTGTTGTTTTCCCTTCAGAATATATAAGCTGATGTTAATATACTGGGTTCTATAAATTAGTGGTGTTGTTTTCCCTTCAGAATATATAAGCTGATATTAATATACTGGGTTCTATAAAGTAGTGGTGTTGTTTTCCCTTCAGAATATATAAGCTGATATTAATATACTGGGTTCTATAAAATAGTGGTGTTGTTCACCCTTCTCAATGTTTAAGCAGATATAAATCTCTTGGGTTCTATAAAACAATGGTGTTGTTTTCTCTGCACAATATATAAGCTGATATTAATATCTGGGTTCTATAAATTAGTGGTGTTGTTTTTCCTTCAGAATATATCAGCAGATATTATTCTATTAGGCTCTATAAAATTGTGGTGCTGTTTTCATGAACTATTAATGAATTCTTCCTAGACTTTTGTTTTTGTTTTGTTTCTTATTCAACGACTTGTGTTTTAAGATTATGTTTGTAAGACAATGTCACTGTATTTCGTTGTATGAGTGAGATTACGAAAAATATGATTAGTATACGTTGAAGTATTGTTGATATACATTAAAATATTATTGAATGTAAAGTCAAAAAGCACGTGACACTTGAATTTAGATGTCACAGAATACTTAATAACTGAGAACTGAGTGTATATTTTCGAAGATAAAATAATAAAATTATATATATATATATTGTGAAATCCTGAGGAATTATTTTTCGTTATATTCATTATCGTTTACAAAATATTTTATATTAACATTTTATTGTCTTTGTTTTTTTATTCAAATAGAATGCAACATTTCAGTTTGATAGGATTATAAGACTTATACGTTTTTTTATTTGTTTTATCATTCTAATTCCATATTTGTTTAACCTGTTCCAGACACGTTTTTCGTCATTTTGTTTATACTTTCGAACACAGTATGTTTGGTAATAGGCTGTTAGTGCGGTTTACTAATTGGTATCCAACTGGTGCGTTTATCAGTCAACTATTGCACTTAGCTTCATGATTCAATCCACACAATGATTATTTCCAATTATTACATTATCTGTCACTTTCGAACCTTTTTTTTTTAGTTCGAAATCAAGCGTCCTCTATTGATTCAGTTTCATTTACTAAGCAACTATACTTTCAATCGTAACTACTAACCAATTTTTTGTCTAACATGTTACTTTATGATACGAAACGAGTATTAGGCCAATTCCAGTTCTAGAAAGTATTCTTTTACTAGTTTCTAATTGCATCTTAAGTAAAAGAAACGCACGTGTGGTTCAAGTTAAATATTATCTGCAAGTAATAACTCCTTGAAACTGACGAAACGGTAGTTTTATAAGATTTTTAAATACGTAAAAAATATTTGAAAATAAATGGAATTCGTAGCAGCAATTTTGTTAAAACATTGAACGTATCTCAAACTGTAATAAAATGTATTATTTCAAATGTTTTATAAAGCACAGTAGCATGTCTATAATAGTCGTAAACAAAAAAGTTTATCAAGATTGTGAAAGTTTCAGAGTATGGATTTGGAAAACTGACAAACCTTTAAATATTTGCATAAAACCTTGGTTAAAAAAAATTAAGTGAAAAACACGTTCCTTTCTATTCCTATAAATCAACCCTAACATAAGCCTTAATGAGTTCAAATCATATTACAAGAAACTATATTTTATTGTTAATAAACTAACACACACAAATATAGTTATATATTGAAAATTATTTTTAGAGAAATCAATAAATTTAATAGCTTTTGAGACATGTTGCCTAATGTTTAGCATGCCGTACATGAATCCGAGTGAGTCCTGTTGACTTTCAGTTTATCAGTTCAAACTTAGGAACTGCTAGTACAAGTAACCCTTATATAGCTTTGCCCGAATATCTTAATCCAACAAACTGATATTTGTTGAAGTATCCTAATTAAAAGGAAGAACTTTTTTTAAAGACAAAATGTATACACGAATAAGGAACGCTCATTTCCTACACGAAAGAAGAAAAATAATGGAATAATGTGGAGATCGTGTTTAACCTTTCAGTATACTTTCAGTACAGTTGTAAACACTTAATTAATAAAATACACGCTTCATCTCCAAAAACGAAAAATAGGAACTTTCTTATTTTGTTTTTTATGCTGGCGTTATCAAGAAACGGGACTTTTCTATAGTGAAAAGTGTAATACACCTGTTGTATTACTACATGGTGAATATTTCAGTATAACCAAGTAACAAAATTTTAACCTCTGGTTGGATGCTATTTCTATAACATAAACAGGTAAGAATAGGAAATTTATACAAAAGCACATTACGAATAAAATTTAAAAAGATAAACCAAAGAAGATCATACTATAGTAATAACGGTGTCTCATAGATGGCGTGTAATACTTTGAATTAATTATATATTTTT